GAGGGAAATGAGAGCTATGAAGAAGACCTTTACCTGGTAGTTAACCCTAACTACTTGCTTGAAGACTGAGATAGTGAAAATAACTGACAAGAGCTAATGAACTGTGGAAGAGGACCTCATGCCTTTGAGTCTGGATGTAGCTCTGCCAGAGAAGTGTTTATTTTGTTTTGTTTTCAATTGCTGTTTCTTTTATTCATCAAAATAAAGTAACTTGTTCTAAAAAAATAAAATAAAATAAATTTGTGACAATCATCATTGTACTTCATAAATGAAATACCTTAGCACAGCTGTAACACCTTGAGCTAAATGGTACTATCCTCAAGGAAGTTGGCATAATTTACCAGTTAAAAGTCTTCTCATTAAAGAATTTATATTGTGAATTAGACCAATAATGATGGAAGATGAAACAAATAAAATGTATTTTAAGTTCTGTGATTATATCTCACAAAGAAAATTAGGCATAATTAATTAAGAATGTTGTTTTGTGTCTTGTTGACCTAGGAGCAGATCTTGGCTTTACGGTATTCTAGCTTGGAATGACAGGTTAGTTCCATCTCAGCATATTTCCCTTATATGAATACAGGACTTCCATAGTCTCTTCCTCTAAGGAATATTTAAATAAAATTAGTCAAGTCCTATTAAGTCCTTGAAACACTGTTCAGCATACTAAGTACTAAAAAATTAGCTATTCTTAATATGCTATGTTATTACTTATTTTTAAGCAATTATTAGTTGTACTATATCTGTACCATTGATTTTGAGAGTTAATTCTATATTTATAAGAGTGGAAGATAATAACAAATATAATACTTCTGATTCTCTTTCTAAATAGCTGATTCATAGAAATTTATTTCTCCCAGAAAAGTGCAAGTTTAATTTAATTTTAAACTAACTTTTAACATTATTTGCATATACATTTTATCACATCTTAAATATGTGATACATATCTAATTGCATGAAAATGACTAGTGATTAACAATGCTTAGCATGTTATTAATATTTTATTTATGAACATTTATAATAAACAGATGTATATTCAATATACATAAAATCATCTTTAATATGTGATACATATCTAATTGCATGAAAATGACTAGTGATTAACAATGCTTAGCATGTTACTAATATTTTATTTATGAACATTTATAATAAACAGATGTATATTCAATATACATAAAATCATCTTTACTAATTACTAACTTATTCAACACTAATAACATTTCCTGAACCATTTACCAAGAATATCTGAAAATATTTTTCAAATTGAAAGTGAAGTATGTCAGATACATGATAAAATGTCTTTTAAAAATACTAGGCGAAGAAGTAAAAAAAAATTCTGCCATTTGCACAAGTTTATAAGTATATCCTAAAGCAAAATATATCATCCTTGTCCAGATAACTGTAGACTGACATATTTAAGTCATACTCACCTTCCATTACTTACTTTATTAGGTATTCCAAATTATTCTATTTCCCTCCAGTATTCTATTCTTTTGCTGTCCAAAATCTTAGAAAAAATGACCTTACCTCACACTTCTCATAACTCAGAGATAAATGGAAGTTTATAGATATGAATTATAGAAAATCATATTAATAGAAATTAAGAAAATCAAAATCAAAAATACAAAAATTTATATATGTAGCTAAATATAAAATATTGTTTTGTTTTCTTTCAACAACATCCAAAGATAGTTCACTAATTAAACAAAAATTAAATGTCTATTCAATTAGTATTTTGCAAAAAAAAGTGGAATAAGTTTCCAATTATAATAATATAAAGCAGGAAGAGTAAACGTGGGCATTACAGTTTTAACGTGCAGCAAAATTTAGAAATGATCTAAACTATTTACAAATTGAAGTAAGTTAATGGTATACCATACTTCTTTCAGAATTAACAACTTGAAGTGTAATTTGCATGTATGAACTGCACATGTAATAAACTGTAAATCTACAAACTAATGATTTTTAAGATATTAAAAAATTAAGACAATGGACACATGTATGATCTCATAAATTTCTCATGTTGCATGGGAATCTCTTTCTATCCTTCATGATCCTGCTCTCAATAAAGCTTGGATCTACTGTCCCTACACATTAGTTTCAAAACCCTAGAATGCTATATGAAGCTATAGATTAGATCTAAAATGTTCCCCAAGTGTCCTGTGATCAGAGGTTTGATCTGGTCAGAGGGGGTGGGTCACTGGAGAAATGACCTGAATTGGTGTATTCTTTCCCCATTTCCTCCATAATCTCTCTGCTTTCTGACCATCACGGGATGGCAGACTTTGGTCCCCCATATTGTTTCTGCCTTACATTCAGCTGACCATGAACTGAACCCAGTGTATTTGAAAATTCAGCCATATAGATCTCTCCTCCTTTAAGTAGTAGATGATGGAGACCACCTAAGCAATCTGATAATTTATAAATTGGCTTTTCATATTAGAAATCTGGGTCTGGCTAATAGCCCACAGTGGTTTGCCTGAAGACCCAGCAGTTGGTGTGTGGGAAAGGAACAACTTCCCATACCACTGGTTCCATCAGAGGTCTTAGTGATCTGTGATGCTGTGAGGTCTTGGATGGCAGGACAATAGTGCAGCTAAGGGCAGCATTATTCATACATAAAACTCCCATAGAGGCAGAAATTAATCTATGGGTAAAAACAAATTTCTCATTAGTCTATAAGCTGTTCTTGCTAGAATATTTCATTCCCTTGTTGCTAGGACCCTGCCTGGATCAGTGCTCTCCACTCCACTGTTCCCTGCCTTACCCCTTTCTTCTTCAAGAAGCTGGGGTTCAATAGATAGGGGCAAGCTCCAGAAGACAGCCTCTTAGCTTGTATAAGAGCTTTGACTGTCCTGGGCCCCCTATTTATGCATTAAGATTTTTGTCTTGTCTTTTATTATCCTGCTACAGTACCCATGGTCAGATGATTGGAAGTCTGATCAGCCTCCAATAAGTGGAAGTCAGGTGTTTAGTTTCTGTGTCAAGAAAGTGACTAATGTAGAGAATTGATAATAGGAATGTGATCATTCTGGGACTGTACCTAACTATGTGGTTCAGAATTCTTTTAAAGTGATTTGCAAGAGGAAATTAGTAAGTTTGGAGACACTGGCTAGAGAACCTTAGAATGCATAAGCAGAGATTAATGAATTCTGATCATAGCTCCGACGTTCAGAATTCTGATAGAAATGAGGACAGTAAAGATCACATACATTGGTATAGATTCTTTGGGAAGGTGGACTAGAGGTCATTTGTATTATGCTCTGACAGAAAATGTTTTTATTTTCCAGGAGAAAGATTTTGCAGCAGACTGAGAGTAAGGCCACTAGACTAGATTACCTGGTAATTAAAATTTTAAGGAAGTACAATTTTATACTGTGGTATAGATACTATTTGCTGTTTTCAGCCAGATTTACAGTGAAAATCAGAAGTAAAAATCACAGCTGATGATGGGAAAGTTGGCCAGAAAGGAAGTACCTATAGAAGTGCTGCAGGGAGCGTATGATTGCTGAAACATTTAGCACTAAAAATAAGCCAAGAACTTTATATCAATAGGAAAGATATCTTAAAGGTATCTCATAAATTGGTCAGACTCTAATCATTGCAGGCTTAAGGACAAATAAGATTAAACTCCTTAGAAAGATTTTACTTAGTTAAGAGAGCCCCGAAGAGCCCTGCTTAGGAAAGTGTTTCTCCAAGTTGAGCCATCTCAGAACCCAGAAGCTGTTGTAGCCATAAGTGAACAGGGATCCAGCTACTGCTTTAGCTGATGATGGACTTTGGCATCATCCACATGGCTGATTTTTCAGGCATGCAGAATGAAGTATGGTGAATTGTGGGATTATGGAGACTTCAAACTAGATTTCAGAAGACAGTCTGGAAGGCCAGGAAAGGAACTCCAGGGCAGGTAGTGTGTGAAGCTGTTAGAGTAAAGCCAAAGGTGCACTGGAGGAAGATGGAATTGTTAGGAATGAGGACTGTCTACTGAGAAAATCTGCAGGCAATGAGGGGAACCACCCGAAGAGAGAAGCTGTGTGTACTGCAAACAGCAAGACCATAGGAGCAGAGTAGCCAAATATCATTATCACTTACCCAGATGCTTGACATAGAACTACAGGATTTAATGCTTGCCCTGCTGGGTTTCAGTATTGCTTTGGTTCTGATACCTTTCTGTACCCGTATTCTTCCTGATTAGCATGGGGATGTTTTTCCTGTGATATTGCATATCAGAAATATTTGACTTGCTTTTTTTATTTTCACAGTGGCTCACAATAATGGGTTTCCTTTTGAGGTTTAGAGGAGACTTTGGACTTGAATTCTCAGCAACACTGAGAATTTTAAGACATCGTTGGCTTTTAGTGGTTGACTAAATATGTTTTAGATAATGAGATGGCAATGATCCTTTTGAGGACCAGGAGTTGGATGGTATGGTATAGATAGAAATTTTCCTTTAGAAGTCTTTTATGCAGTCTTATATTTGTCACAGGAGCCAGGTTGCTGGTAGCTTGAGTTGCAGAGTTATACTCTTGTCCCTGATTTCTCCCTGCTCTCTCTACTTCCTGTGTGCCAAGGGATAACCAGCTTTCCTTCACCAGGCCTTCAACCATGGCATTTGTGCCTTGAAGCAGCCATACATGAACTGAACCCACAGAAAACTATGAACTATAAAAATTCTCTTCTTTTAAGTTGTATTTCCAGATATTTTGTCCCATTAACATGAAAATAACTAACACATCTACCCCTTTATTGTTCTTTCTGGTAGGTGTGGTCTGGATTCTTACACTTCGCATAATTTTGTGATGCAAACATGTTTTGTAGGTATGAAGTATCTATTTCTTTTTATTGATGAATAATATAACATTGTACAGATATATCACAATTTCCTTTTCACTTCACCAGTTTTCCATTACTATAACAATTATGTGAGAGGAAAACTGAGAAGTGAGCCACCGGTCAGCTGCAGCGCGCAGTTCTGAGCGACGTTTCACGCAAATCGTCAGCCACTGGAGTCCTTGCATCTTGAGCCTGCGGTAGTTGCTGTTGCTTCGCTCCTGAGGTTTTTTAACATGTCTATTTTCTTCAAAATGAATGTCAGCATTACTTTCTTAAGACCTCATGCCAGGTGTTTGGTGCCATTTACCCTTCCTAAAAGGAGAAAGAATTTATATTCAACAATTCTGCAGAGACATATGTCTTACAAAATACCAGCTGTATCTTATCCTGATAAGGATAGTGCATCTCCTCCTGCACAGCTAGAATTGGATAGGTGGAAAACTACAATGAAATCTAGTGTGCAAGAAGAGGCTGTTTCCACAGTCCCAAGTAACAAGGGTAAAGATACACCAGCTGCTACCAGAAAATTAATTGAGATGTGGAGATTGCTTGGGAGAAATGTAGCAGAACACATCACTGAAGAAGAGCTCAAGGACATCATGGAATGTGCCTCTAAGACATCAAAACTAAAATACTTAAAATTTTTGTATATTAAAGAAAATCTGAAGAAAGCTAAGCAAAACAAAAAGGAAATGAAAGCAGCAGCAAAGGAAGAAGCAAAAAAGGCCAAGCTGTTAGAAACCACTGAGGAAGATAAACAGAAAAACTTTCTATTTCTTCGACTTTGGGACATAAAGGAGAAAATTGCCATGGTTGGAAGGGTGCCCAGGCTATGTAGTTTGGACAACCTTTGGTTTTTGATATGGTTTATGATAATTATATGAAACCAGAGGAACTGAATAATACTATTTGCCAACTTTTAGAAAGTGAAGGATGCAACAGAAGAGATGTTGACCCTTTTCATATTTACTTCTGCAACCTTAAACCAGATAGTGCTTACCATAGAGAGTTAGTTAAAAGGTATGGGGAAAAATGGGAAAAATTGTTTTTAACAGCAACAGAAAAGTCATATGTAGATTTATTTCCAAAGAACAATATCATATATTTAACTGCAGATTCTCCCAATGTTATGACTACTTACAAGCATGACAAAATTTATATTGTTGGGTCATTTGTTGATAAAAATATGCAGCCAGGTATCTCCCTAGCCAAAGCAAAACGATTAAACCTGACAACAGAATGCCTTCCATTAGATAAATATTTACAATGGAGCACTGGTAACAAAAATCTTACCTTAGATCAAATGATGCATATTTTGTTATGTTTGAAAAACACAGGTAATTGGGAAGAGGCTATGAAGTTTGTTCCCAGGAGAAAACATACTGGTTTTCTAGACATTTCTGAGCATTCTCAAGGGTTTTTCAGCAGATTAAAGAAGGCAAAGACTTTTAATTCGTTCCCAAAGGGTACTTTTAAGTAGAAAGACAGAAAGTTGGCATAAATGAGAAAATTTGATAGCTTAAAAAGTAAGTGGAGTGAAACTATAGTTGTATTTTTCAATGGAAATATAGTCCTATTAGCAAATTTCTTTCCAAAATGGAACTCATCTTTTTCTTTGAAAGGTGTTTCCACCGGGGATGTGGCTCAGCGGCACCTTGCCTGACTGGCAAGCACTAGGTACTGAGTTTGATCCCTGGTACCGCGAAAAAAATAAAAGGTGTTTCCAAACTTAGTCTTTGCCCCATTACTTAAATCTCTACAGAACTTTGAGAATGTATTTTGTTTATGATAGACATTTAATAATCAGAAAGAAATTATGTTGGTTTAATAGAATAAGCTTTACATGAGGCCAATAAAAGTTGTACCATTAAAAAAAAAACAACTATGTGAGAGAATAAACTTAGCAAAGGAAGAGTTTTACTTTGATTCATAGCCTTGCATATTCCAACTCATGATTGTTTGATCCTGTTGCTTTTAGATGCATCATAAGATAGTATTTCACTGCAGGACAGCCTGACAGAGAAAGACTGTTTAGTACTTAGATGAGCAGCAAAGAAGAAAAGGAAATGACTGAGGTTCCATAGTCCCCTTCAAGGTGAAGTTCCCAGGGACACAAAGACCTTCTTCTGGTCCCTACTTCTTGTAGTCCCCATTGGGTGCCAACGTCATCAAGCTGGGAACCAAGTCTCTACAGCATGGACCTTTGAAAGGCCCTCAGATTTCCAACCATAACAGAAATGATTTCTGATTCACAAGTTGTAAAATTACGGTCATATTCTTAGTCATTTATAATAATTCCCTATTATCCTTTTAATAACTAGAGAATCTGGAGAGACTACTCTCATTGCTTACCTTGTCATTTTTGTATACTGACATTTTTCTCATCAATATATTATGGTTTCTTAATTTTACTGTTTGTCTGAATGAAACAGATTTTTTATATTATTTACTTTTTTATTTTTCTATTTTGTAGTTCATTTAAGAACACATTTCTTCTATTTAAGTTAAAGGTATTTTCTTAAAAATATTTTTGTGTTACCGGCATTTATTATGATCCATGTCCCACTGTATCATCCTTCAGTGGCATCACACAAATTTTTTATATTTGTATTTTCACGTTCTATTCAAAATGCTGTTTTATATTTCCTTTATACTTTCAAACAAAATATTCTCTAATTTTTAAAATATCATATTTGATCCATGTATTATTTAAAAGTTGTTAATTATTTTCAAATTACTTTCAAATCAGAGTGCTTTATATAATGTCTTTAAATTTACTCAAAGTTATTTCATGACTTAGAGTAATTTATGACCTCATTTGGTAAATCCTAATATACCCAACAAAAAGAATATTCTGTGGGTTGGAGTGTTCTGTATATGTCAATTAGATAAAATTGGCTGATAAGGTTATTTGACTCTTCTTTTTACTTTTATTGTATTTTGTCTCATTGATCAATCAATTAATAGCGTTGAAATCCACGGCCATATTTGGCATTTTCACCTTTTTCTTTTAAACTATCCCTCATTTTATATTTATTTAGGTTCTCTTTGGGGTTTTCTATTTTATCAAATATGACAATCTCTACATTTTAATTAGAAAATTAGGACATTAATATTTAATGTGATTATCCTTATTAAGTAAATCTATCATCTTTCCATTTCTTTTCTAATCATATCAACAGAAGACAAGAGAGCTTAGTAAGCAACATTTATTCAAATTTATGTTGATTGTATTCTAAAATCCATGTTTTAATTACTTCCTGACATAAATGCATAGAACTACAAAGGATACATATATTATTCATACATACAGTCATTCACTGTATACATATTTACTTATTTTCATATATTATGCTTGCTCATGAAAGTGATTCTATCCAGTGGATAGTAGTAACAAAGCTAAAAAGTAGCCAATTATTTGAAGAGTAGTTTTCACTTTTTTCCTACTGTGTAAAGCCACTTTTGCTAAGGCTTTAATCTCCTAGACCCTCAAAAACTCATTCTTTGCAAGACCCCGTACTCTATCAAAGGATGTACCAGTCTTCTTGGACATTAATGAGTCTGGATGTAAGAGGAGAAAGAACATTACACAGTACAACTTGACTCTGTTCAATGAGGTTTGAGTCAGAGTGTTGTCTTGGAGCTGGATGAATTAGAGGGTTATTTGCATATCACTCTTGGACGGAATTTGGGGGTGTATTTGGTCTACAATCAAAATTGAGGAATTAATGTTTATTGTTTCCTGCTTTTTTATCAATAAAGACAAATTTCTGCAGAATGTGAGTGGCTCCTTTTTCTCCATTTTCATTTCTTTGATTTGTAACTTCTTGTACTGCTTTTTTCCAGGTTTTCCTTTTCCCTTCTAAATCCTTTTGTTGAGGCAAAAGTTTAAAAATGAACATTGACTGACACTGTTCTTTTAATTCCCATATGAAAATCTCCTTTTTGTCTTATCAACATGGATGTGGTTTTACCTGGAGATGTTTAGTACAAGGATTATAAAAATCACTAGGATTAGATATATAATATAATAATTTTGGGGGGAGTCTAGCGAATGGATAATCAGTTGGTGGTTCACTTGGCAGTTTCCTCATTATAGTTAACTTATGGTTAACAATCCCTGCAAGAAAATGTCTTGCAGCAATACTTCTTCACCCATTTTAAGAAAGCTTTTAAAAGGCTTTTAAAAGGGTATCTGCTTTGGCACCTCATACTGTAAAGGTGAGGACTTTGAAGGAAAAAAAAATTTGAAATGTTATAAGAAAGAGGCAATTGGTAGACAATTTTCAAATTATAAGATGTTCTATTATAGAAGATTTAGGTCTTGTTGATGCCTAGATGAAACAAAAGCTCTCATGTATCAGAAATGGATACTGCAACATACAAAATTGTAAATATAAAATTTATTTTTCTATTTTGATTAACAAATGAGATTAAAATCATAAGAATTTATGTGCTTGTATAGTTTAAATGCTGGTATGTCACTCTAAATTCTTACAGCTTCCATATGAAATAATATAAGATAAATATATAGCAGTCACAATGCAAATAAGATTGAATTATTTTTTATTTCTTTATAAATTTATGTTATACAATTTTAATGATGTGAAGACACAATTGGAGTATACAGTTTTATGATGCTCTTAGAATTTGTAATGTTCAAAAATTTGTAATTTATTAGGATTTACTTATTCTAAATATTTACTTTCTTACATACTTTTCTTTCTTTTTATAGTTTTTTGGTTTCTATGAGCACTAAAAAAGACTCAGTGCCTAAGGTGACTTGGGATGTATGACAGAAGCTTATGTAAAAATTGGAAAGTTAGTTAATGATGTTTCAATGCGAGTACAAAGCCAGATTCTGATAGACTTGTAGGCTTCAGGAAGAACTGAAATTTCCCCTTAGTCAACTGGGCTTCTGCTTAAAAAATAAAATTAAAAAATAAAATAATAAAAAAGAATAGAAAGTTACCCTGTGTCAAGTGTAGATTAGGGAAAGATAGTATGGGTCAGATATGAGTTGGAAATATATTTTATTGTTTAGACTTAAAATATTGATAATTTGGCCAAGAATTTCAGGAGAAAGAAGATATTAAAAGGTTAGAGAAAGTGGAGATATGATGTGCTATTTACAAAAGAGGTTTTTAGTTTTGTTTTAAAATACATTAATCATTGACAAGACAAAAGGCAAATTACACAAATTCTTGTAGGTGTTTATTTGCACCCTTTGAGTAAAATGTGGCTCCATTTTCTAACATTAGGGAAAGTAAAAACAGAAGATGTTTTGGGTTTTGCAAAAGTATATTAAACAGATAAACCATTTAAGGAGTGAAAACAGATGTTTCAGAGAGACAGGCACTGAAAGGTGAAGGTCCACAAGCAGTAGGCTATGCCCAGTGGTCTCTGCTGAGATTCTGAGATTGATGAAGACCAATATCTGGTCTTTGGGTTTAAAAGTGAAATTACTTTGACAAGAACACTTTAGTGTTCTGGATTAGTTTGAGCCTGTTGCTGGGTTTGGTGATTTGAAGAGTAAATACAACGTGAGAGGATTGTCTGAAATAATAAATGCTTCAAGAAGAGTTTGTTGAAGGTGAGAAGAAAAAAGAAAAAAATATAGAGAGTGAAATATAATCTATAAAATTCTTACCCAGGGAACTATTCTAACCAATTCCTATGTAAGTAGAGAACGATATTTTTCTTGACAATAAAAGCTAAGGACATTGAAAATTTGGTGATACAAGGGAGGCAGCACAACTAAAAGGTTTGTGAATGAATGTTTTAGTCTGGATTTCTCCAACACCTAAGCCTGAGCTGAGATAAGAATTCAAATACATGCCATTTATATCAATGGTACAGAAATACAGAGAAGTAAGAAATTTGAACTGAAAAAGAAAGGCAGCCTTTAAAATTGCATTATCTAGGCAACTAACATCCTGAGAAATAACCTAGAACCCATTTTTATTCCATTCAAGAGATAAGAAGTTGGAATAAATTTATTTGAAAGCTTCTAGTTGTGAGTTTCTGGCTCTGATAGGATCCAATATCCTTTCCTGGAAAAAGCCCTCAGGCAGAGATGGAGATGGTAGCAGGTAAAATTTGTCCAGGACACCAAAGTGGTTAGCGCCATATGTGAATGGAACAGCTACAGCATCATGCAAGTAAAAGCAGATATGTTATCCAATTGAGTGTTATAAACCCCAATTTAAACCACACTCTATGATTTAAGATTGCGTTATAATTGTTATATGAGTTATTGCACTTGTAGTTTTTGAATACTTATTGCTGTGATTGGAACAAGTGAAAAGTGTCATAATTAATTGTTTCTCAATCAAATGTTTGGACCGAATAGATTACAGAATAAAAGCATTGGTTATTCATATCAACTGAAAAATAATTTGCCTTTCATTTTAGATTTAGTTTTACAATGACATGTGGAATTTGTTAAATAAGTTTTTTCATTGTGCCTAATCCAATTACCTGATGTTGAGGCTACAGATGATAACACTGAAAGTGACAGGATGCTTTCT